AGTAGTGAGCCAATTTAAAATCGTTAGTTTCGTATTGATTGTTGGTACTACTGTGCAAGGCATGATGAGATGTATTCCGCGAAAAGATCGAAAATTCATCCGAAAAGCTGACGAATAATTTTTGTTGTATTTTTCCCTTAAAGCTAAATAAAAATCAAACAAAATGATCTTTAGCGTTTTTGTACTTTATTTCTTCTTGGAGAAATGACCTATTTTGTGCGGTCAAATTCTAAATGGAACAGAATCCCTAAAGATGTTCTCTGAAATCCATTGGTGTTATCTCTAGAATTCATGCTAAAATCTGTTCAAATTTGCGTTGGAAAAAATTCTAAAATCCTCTCACAGTTCTTCGAATTGGCTATATGCTGAAAATCTAGTTCAGTCCAACGGTCTTCAAATATCTTTTTTTTCGAATATAGCTTTCCCGATTTTTCATCGAAATTCAATGGATTTTCCCGGTGACTTCAAATTCCGGCTTCAGTCCAGTTTTCTAGGTTTCCCGGGGACCCCTTCATTTTACATATGAAAAACTTGTCTTTAAGGGGAAGCTCACCGGCCCAAAAATAAAAAATATTTTCGGTACGTTTTTATTTTTCTAAAAATATTGGGAAAAATTATCAAAAATCCAAGAAAATCAGTTTCTTCCTTAGATTTTTGTCAAAAATTACATGCAAAAATTTTTTTTCTATCCCATCATGAAAAAAAAATTGGACTCTCAGAAAAACTGAAAAGTTGATGTTTTGTGGTTTTTTGAGTCCAACTTTATGCCATAATGACTTATAAAACATGTTTTTGCACGTGAATTTTCTTTAAAAAATTAGAAAAAATGTGATTTTTTTAGATTTTTGATACTTTTTTTTTCAATATTTTTAGAAAAATCAAAACGTAATTATTTTTTCGAAGCGGTGAACTTCCCCTTAATAGCATTATTTAGTTTTTCCTGGAGCTCTTTTTGAGACCCAGCTCTGCTAGAAAATTATTCCGGATAATACGCGGGTGGATTAAGGAAATCGTAAAAAAAAACAGCGCTTAAGTTAATTTCTTATCAATTGCAATAGCAGCATCATCACAATACTAAAACTTCACTGAGAAGTTGATTTTACAAGCTAATCAGGTTTACAATGAAGACCTGACTGCCTATGATTGCAAATCAGTCCCATATGGAAAAAGTAGGCATTGAGAAAATGTCAGTCAAAGTTACGAAGTGCAATTCTCATGTAAATATTTGAAAAATCATAGTAAATATATTGATAATTTTTTCAAGTTAAAATCTGTCACAATGAAGCTTGCATGTTTTGTTATATCAAAAATATGCCAATTCGAAAAGCAGAAGTTTATGAACTATGGACGATGAATTTCAGGATGGGACTGATATTCGATTACTTTGCTTGATGGGACAAACTGACTTGATGTCGTTTTCATATTCTTCATGATCAAAGTCCATAGTTTTATCACATAATATGAAAGTAGATACATTCAAAGTGTTTTTATGTTACTTCATACGCGAAGTTTGCGACTTTCAGAGTTGGTTGGAAATGTAACAACTCAAGGCGGGAGTAGCCGTCAACAATGCACGCAACAACCACCTTACTGCTTTCTCTCTGAGATGACCACGTTGGTCATGACGAGAGGAGCAACACAATAGTTGGGTAAACAAGAATTGCATTCCAGTGAATTCTGGCCGAAGGCCGCCCACACAAACTAACATCATCATCGTGTAGATAGAAGTTTCCTCTATCCGATGATGGCGTTGGTTTGCGTGGGTGGCCTTCGCTTCATGAGTAAAGGGCTTTGGAACGGTTTGTTTACAAATGCTGATAGGCCCTTTTCTATTGTTGATCCAGAATTTTTATATTAAAATTCCAGGTTTTTTTCCCGGTTCAAATCTCAAAATATTCCCGGTTTTTAATATATTTAGTAAAAAATAATGATTACACTATAACGCTATTTTCAAGGTATTTACACACTAAGATTATTTCACCGAAATCTCAACAGCTGAACGTTTGGGTAAACAGTTCGGTGATTTTTCACAGATTTCCTGTAATTTTTCACCGAATATCTGTAAAAAATACAGGAAATTTGTGAAAATCACCGAACTGTTCAGCTGTTGAGATTTCGGAAAAATAATCTAAGTGTGTAGAATCAATTTGAATAACTTTTTTTTAGACTCGAGTAAAATACTAGAATTTACAAAGTAACAGAGTTATGGATTTTTTAAGGTCATTATAAACTAAGAAATTGTTTTAAAAATCTTGAGCTCGTTACGGCGCAAGACATTTTTGTAAAGTATCGTGATCTGTACGAATATAAATCTTAAAAACAAATGTAATCTTAAGAAAAACTTTAATTTCTAAGATTCTGAAGCTTAGTTTTTATAGAGTCTTAGAATATGCTATTTTTTTAAATTGTTTTTTTTTTATATCTTTATTAATGAGACTTTCAGCCCTGGGCAGATTGATTGAAATTTGTGACTTATGAAAATCTATCCTCGATTAAGAAGAAAAACAGGATTGGATTTTATTCCAACAATTCTGAGAAAAATACTCAAAATGTGGGATTTTGAAAATGATGCTAGATCCCTGATTTAGATTTTTTTTCGAGATACCAGATTTGGAAAAATACAGTCCCTGGAAAATTCTGTTCGATTGGAAAAGTGTTCAGGGTTTTAATAATTTGAAGAACTTTTTATAAAATTTTGAAAATTCAAGATTCTGAGAAGAACTCGGAGAAAAATTCAACGGAACTCTGACAAGAATCCCAAACTATTTCTACGATTAAGTCCTGACGAACTCGTAGAAGAATTACAAAGGAGTTGTGAGTAGAACTTCAAGGAGAGTTCCTAGCTGAAGAGAATTGTATGGGGTGGTGAATTTTAAGGAGAATTTAAAAAGAAATATAAACATAATTTAAAGGGTTTTCTGATAATAATTTCAAAGGAATACCGAGGAAGATTCACAAGAGAACTTTAAGCAAGACCTGGGAAAAATGCCGAAGTAATTGTATTCTGTGTAAATAAAGAAAAATGTTGAAGAATTTAAATTACATTCTTATGAAAGTGTCAAGAAAATTCAGCGCAGAATTCCAAAGTATTTTAGTGAGGAGAAATTTGCGTAAGATCAAATAATTTCAAAGGTTTAAGATGATTAAGAACTGAATAAACCATTTTTGAGCTGAAGAAACATCTGTTTGCTTGATTAAGCTTAAGCTGTTATTCAACTTTTAATGTTTGTTGCAATATGTTAAGGTTTATTGATTTTTCTCGGTTCTCCCGTCAAATTCCCGGTTTTCCCGGCTGCTTTTCAAATTCCCGGCTATCCCGATTCGCTGGCCACCCTGTGCATTATAACACACCATCGACTGGAAAGGCGGGCGCACACTTTTTGCCTGTAATTTGAAGACATACTTCAAATCTCCGCGTACATCGTACGGGTTAGGCAAAAGGTGTGCGTTTGACTTTGTACTGTCGCATTAATGGCCCTTCGCTCATTTTCAACTTCTATGTTCTCCAGACTTTCCTTCGTATGTTCTCTGAACTTCTCCTCGGATGTTCGCTGAATTTCTCCTAGGAAGCTTTTAACTTCTCCTCGAAAGATTTTTGAACTTCTCGCCAGAAGTTCCTTGAACCTCACCTTGACAGTTCTCTGGACTTCTCCTCGGAAGTACTCTTGACTTCATGTCGGAAGTTCTCTGAACATCTTGTTAGAAGTACTAAGAGCTTCTTGTCGGAAATTCTCTGCATTCCCCGTCAGACAATCTTGGAATTTCTCAACGGGAGTTCTCTGGACTTCTCGTCGGCAGATCTCCAAGCTTATCGTCGGAAATTCTCAGAACCTGTCGTCGGCAGTTCTTTCAACTTTTCAACTTCAGGGAATTTTAATGAAGTTCTATGAAATTTTCGTCAAAAGTTCTGTTTGCTTATAATCGGATTCTGACATCGAAAAATATTAAGAGATTACTAAAGTTAACACAAAATCACAAGTCTAAGGTTTGGCTTAGACATTGTTTAGGAATCTCACTTGAATTATTAAGGAAAATTATCATGATTTTTGGACCATCGCAATTTTTTTTAGATCTCAGACTTACACCGAGGCAAATAGACTTGAGAATTTCATAAGGCTCGACTTATGAACAACACATATGAATTTAATAAGAGTGATTTATGAATGATTTTCGGGTAACATGAGGTAGTTCTTATATGCTTTTAACCATTCCTTTTTCCTAAGCGTTGAAAGACAAGTGGTCATCATGCGGGCGCCATTATCTCAACGGCCATGGTTCGGTTCCAGTCTGCTCCGATTTATTATTTTTTTGTCAACATTATTTTTCATAAGGCAAATCAATGAAATTCATACTGATTTCTTGTAGCTAAAATTCATAAGTGTTTCTTATGGAATTCTTACATTCTTTTACCTGCGTGTAATTGTTTGAATTCCATACTAAGGAAAACTTGAGAATTTCGCTTGCAATTTAATGTTCTTTAAAAGATTTCAATAGATCAAATAAATGGTCGATCGAATATACCATGAACACGGATTAAGGATCTTGAAATGATCCACAACCTTATTTTTTTTTTTCCGATTTGTCATCGAAATTCACGGGCTTTTACGGGTGATTTCGAATTCCCAACTTGTCACCCTGCGCTGTGGTAAAAATTTGTTCACCTACCCTAGTTCATAGGGAAGACTAAACTATCAAACAAAGACTTGTTTTGGGGCCTCTTCTAAATCCGGAGTAAATTACGAGAATAGCGAATCCCAACTGAAAGATTTTTTTGAAATTCAACACTACTATTTCGAAAAGCAAGGTCCACACCATTCTAGAAATTTACCTCCGGAAGTGCAGTATCAACCAAATTTCGGCATTTGAGTTCTGACAAAATGTTCAGGAACCAAAAATATTTTGTTTTCTTCAGAATCGGGGATCAGATTTGGATTCCATCAAAAATCGTTTCAATTAAAGCTTATCTAGAATAAACGAACGTAGAATAACAATAAGCAAACCTTTCTTCCGGATTTTGCGGTATCATCATGTCCCCGGTGCGCAGCTTCCGGCTGATTTCCTCGATCTGTAGTTGAACTAAAAGTGATCCGAAGAAAGAGAGCAGAAAAAGATTAGATCGAGGGTAAACCCCCCGATGTTAGATTATTACTGGTAATTAGCGAGGTTGGGAGTTGGTCAAAATTTCGATCATCTATAATAAGAGAGCTAAAGACGAGAACAGAAGAACATCATCCGTCGTGGATGTTCGAAGGATCCCGAGTAGATCTCGAAGTTTGCTGTGAAGAACTACTTACGGCGCTTTGACACTCGTCTTACAATCGCTGGCTACCACCGGGAACAGCTGCGTTGCGCTACGGTGACTCTGAAACGCGAAAAGCCTAATCGCTTTTATCAAGGTTTTTTGGTTCTTATTTTGGGAGAGAAAGCATGTGTCATTATTGCGCTCTTGTGACTGTTATATTGTTTATCAAAACACGGCTATCCGGAGGAATTTTACAGCAGGTCAAATCCCAGTCGATGCTTCCAATTTGGAGGTTCCGTCAACCTAAAGCTGAAAAGAAATACAATCTGTCGAAACTGCACACTAAACTCACCTAGATATGCTTCCTGCTGATCCTGCGACATTCCGGGCGGCAGAATGGTAGGCATTCCGGGAATGAATGTTTTGTCGTGGTCTCCTCCGGCCCAGCGAGATTTCTTCTTTCTTCGCCGAGCATCACCTTCACCGCCGCTGTTGTTTCCACTGCCACTTGGACCGTCTGTGGATAATTCTTACTTAGGAAAATGTTTTCATTTTGAAATAAGAATCCTCAACTTACCCTTTCCAACATCCGACGATTGACTGTTTTCATTGTGCGCCTCCAGCAGTGCCTTCTGGGCTTGTATCTGCTGCTGTTGTTGTTGAATTTGCTGCTGCTGATTGTAACTATTCAGCAACTCGGCAAAACTTTTCGCATTCGCCGCAGTCGACATCATCGATTCGATTACACTCTGAGTGAACTCGATACCTTTGTAATCGTAAGCACTGTCCTGCTCGCGGGTTTCTCGCTCTCGGTTCGTGCGATCCGAAGCACGGCTAGTGCCCCGATCGTAGCGCTCACGTTCCCGCGAACGTCTGCGATCACGGCTCCGAGACCGGCTACGCCGTCGTTTATCCTTCGATCGGCTTCTGCTGCGCCTCCGATGGTCGCGGTCACGTTCTCGTTCCCTATCCTTGTCACGGTGCCGGCTTCTGGATCTACAGTGAAAACAAACACAGAAAATTGATAACGTAAACAATCCCGAGTCATAACCTCACTTCTGTGAGTAGGCGTTACGGCGACATCCGGACCGAGACCCCGGTGGCATAGCGCTACGCACACGAAATGGGGCCCACCAGTAAACTTACCTGCGACGGTCGCGGTCATCACGTGATTTTCCATGTGAATGACTCGATTCACCATCACGATCCCGATCACGGACCTTATCCTTATGTTTGGACACCATTTTCACTCGAATAGTTGCTAATTTTCACCAAAAAATCACAATTTTCCACCAGCACGAGAAACTTGTGACGCGCACAACCAGGAGGAAAATTTATGACAGCAATGGTGATGGGCGTTACGTGCATGTTGACAGCAGTCGCAGCGTTGGCCTCATCGGCCAATAATGCGGCACGTAAGGAAAGACAGGCCAAAACGGGCCCCTGGGGGTAAAATGGCCCCGCGCGGTTGCTTTTCCGAAAAGAAATAATTATAATATAACAATTAAATTACAATGATTTTTACTGTTATGTTTTGAGTACATTAAAATTTATTGTTAAAATATTGTACGGGAGAAAAAATAGATTTCGATTTTTAACGATACAATGCTCTAACAACGAAAATTAGTGTGATGAGATCAAATTTGTTCGCGAATACCATGATTTTCATTGTTGTGAACCATGAATTTCGTTGTGATTTTATGGTAATGGACAAAAATGTCCAATGTTTTGACAGTAAATATCATGGTTACAATGACAATGAAAATCATTGTATTTTTATTGGATTTTTTTTACGGGTTCCCATTTTATTATTGCGCATTTTGCACCTTATAAGGTATACTGTATACTGGACTCCGCACTTTGAAAGTGCCGGGATGAAATAAGTGCAGGCCATGCGTATGATAGATAGAGTTGTAAAAGTGACTGATTTTTGTTCGGAATCAAAACAACAAAAAAGTGTCTGTTTCGGTTTTTGCTGTTGTACTGATTTCAAGATCTGACACTCTCATTGCATTCTACTCGAAACACGTGTAAAAATAATTTTGCAAAATATTTGCAATTTTGCAAACAATTCTAAATTACTTATTTGTGAACAATTATATGGTTTTCCAAGTATGAATTAGATTGAAAATGATTTTGAGACGTGTTTAAATTCAAATGGTACACCTTTTTTGTTTCCAAATGTGTTAAACTCAATAGCGTTCTAGGCGTGAAATAACCAAAAAGTTCGTTGTTTTTCGTCAGCGTACCATCAAAGTGCGACTCAAAATATTCCCAAAAATCCAGTCACCGAATTTTTTTTAATGTTTAATCACAGACAAACAGACATAACACTCGAAAGTTGTTCATCGAACAAGCATTTAACGGACAATTTAAAAGTATCGTAGTTGGTAGTACCGCCACCTGTGGCGCGCATAGTCAATTCCCTTGCGTTTGACGTTTACACACTACCACCATCTGTTCAGCGTAGTGCCCACCACAGTGTACTCAACAGATGGCGGTAATGTTTTAGCGACGATGTTTTACAGTGAGAAATATTCAAATGTGTTATGTCTGTTTGTCTGAGGTTTAATGTAGAGTTTTCATTTTAGTTTTGCACATGAAAATGTTTTAAACAAACCTGCTATTCCACCAGAACATGTTTTTTGCAAACACCTACTCAAAAATCGGTCGATCAACAACAGAGGGATTTTTGAACGATTTATTTCATTTTTGAAGCTCGTTTCGAAGCGATGGGGACGACTCTATCTACGATGCAGGAAAGATTGTGTTTTGCTGTGGCTAGCTGCGTGCACGCTGAGTAGATAGAAAGAAGATTGACGATGATTCTGAAGATTTCCTGCAAAAAGATGATGCGCGATGCAAGTAGATGCGAGAAATGAAAGAAGATTTTTCGAAGATTGATTCGCTAGTGTGAGATTTGTTGAGCATCTAGACTTTAGATTTAGATGTGTCGCCCCCCTCGTTTCAAAGTGTCAATTTCAAGTGAAAATTCTCCAAATGGAAAACAGTCTTACATTACAGCCTGTATCATGTAATATAGGCTGTCTTGCAATGAGCACTCATACATAGGATTTCCAGTAAAAACTAGATGTATAAGCATAGACGTAAGACCAGAAGGTCCCGAAGAAACCCCTAATAAAAATAACAATAAAAGATAGCTTAACGACGTGTTCGGGGTATCATCCAAACCATTTAAGGGATAGTTTACCAATCCGGGATACAGTTCGTTTATGGTATTTGTTTATTAGGGACGTGCTCAACTTTTTGGCTCAGCTCTGGTACTCTCTTCAGTCCCTAGCAAATCGATGCACCCCTCGAAACATTAGAAAATCCACGAACCCCTCATTTTATCTGTCAAACTTTCATAGCGAATCAAAACAAACATAGTGTAGTACTAGAATTTTGACTAGGATGGGATACGTTAATCGATTTGCTTGGGACAAATCGGCTAGTCGGTTAGCATAGAAGTATAAGTGTGACCATGGATGTGCTCATAATTTAGGCTGTGTTCCATTTGGTGAATTTTCACTTAAATTTGACACTTTGAAAATAAATTATACTCTTCGAAAATCCCTCTCCTGCTGATCATCCCATTTGCGAAAAAGTGTTGGTCAAATTTGAGTCCTGATCTGTCAGAAGAAAGTCTGCTCAAATAGCAGGTTGTAACCGTGCGGGAAAACTTCCTGAGATAATTCTAAACACGGTGGCTTAAGCGCCACTCTCACGAAGAGAGACCACCGGTCGTGTTAAAATTGCCCGACACTTTGAAACTAAAGCTCAGAGGACTCCCGTACGGTACGATTCTCGAAGTACCTCAACGAATCAACCCCGAATTTTCGCTAACGCCTGAGATCTAATGAACACTTTTATCCGCACTTCCTTTTATCACGAAAAACCTGCAACCCCGAAAGGATCCAAAATGCCCGGGACGGGACTTGACAATCCAGCTTCTCACTCTTCTTAATGTTTTTGATGAATGTCCGTCGAAAATTACTGCATGGTGTTTGACGGAGTTGACCAATGATGCCAGGATTGAAAAATGATTTTTCTATTTTAATTTTAATTTGATTCGGAGTTTCTACCAACAATCAATACGAAACTAACGATTTTAATTTGGCTCACTACTTGACTAGCCTATTGGTCCCAAGCAAACGATTAACGTACCCCATTCTAGTTGAAATTCTAGTACTACGCAATGTTTGTTTTGATTCGCTATGAAAGTTTGACAGATAAAATGAGGGGTTATTGGTTTTTCTTATGTTTCGAGGGGTGAATCGACTAGCTTGGGACTGAAGAGAGTACCAGAGCCGAGCCAAAAAGTTGAGCACGTTATTTCGGGACCTTCTAGTCTTAGAGTTACCTCTATGTTTCTACCGCAGCTTAACACCTTGTACATCATTTTTGTTTAACACAATAAAAACAACCATAAACAAACAAGAATATCCATCTCTGAAAGCACGCCCTGGACCCTATTTTCCAACTTTCCTTTCGCAAATATAAACAATTAACAACGCCATTGACGTCAACAATGATTCCGGCATCACTGCCAGACAGATTGATATGATCCCTATGTTCTTTTTATTCCACGATTGCTACTGTCAAATCGACCAATCAGCAACTGGCTCGGATTTGACAGCAAATTGGCTCGAAATCGCTACCCGATTGTCAAGTCCCGTCCCAGCAAAATGCTAAGCTCTATCAGCATAAACACAACGAATCGGGTTAAAAACAAATATGTATGAATAGAGAGAGATCTTACGAATGGAATACACAGTGATGTATGAACCAGCTAAGAGACGCAACGGTAGGAAGGAAAATTATATACTTTACAACAAAAAAACAACCAATTCAAACTATATTCACGTATTTGATAATTACATTCGTGTTGTGTTGGACAAACCCGATAACAACGGAAAAAACTAAATTCTTGGCTATGAAAACAAGAATACGGACATACCTGCGCAGGATTTAGGTTCCGTGAGATGCAATGCGATGCGATGTGATGCAACGGCGACGGATGAAGCGGTGATGGCGACGGATGGATCGGTGATGGCGACAGATGGAGCGATAATGGTGGCCGGAGACCTTACCAAGGTCCTAACGATGGCGACTGTCGACTGTCTCGGAATGGCACCGATCTAGCTGCGGAAATGGCGTGCAGCGACGAAAAGTGACCCGTGTGCGGTATGGCCAAAATTAGAGGTGCGGAGGTAGTGGCGGCTGGACGGAAGGCTTTCGATTTGCTTTCTAGAGAGCTGAGCATCGACGGAGTCGAGCTTTTCCCGGGAGATTCGCTCCGCGGAAGAGAGAGACCAACGTACCGTCGCACGGCTTCACGTACTATGTTTCCGCTTTGACCGCCCGAGATGGAATGAAATCTTCTCCTCTTTGGTTAAAATCCGAACCGAGGTACGCGATTGGCTTCGTAGTCCTACGGTCCAAGCTCTCGAATGTCACGGTCCCCGGGGTTGTAACGGGATGGGGACCTTACCGACGGCTTTTGGCGACCGTCGGGAAACAATTCGCTAAGCAGAAATTTAGCGTCTTCACTCTCCTCCGTTTGACTACCTACGAGAGGCGGGCCTTCGCTGTGCACACGGGTCTGATCCGTCCTTCACGGACGAAAAATGTGGCTTTGATGACGCCACGAAGCCAAAGTTCCGGCGATGATGACTGCCGAACTCGTCAAAAATCCAGCCCGTACAAAAAAGCCCGTTGAACGAGCTGTCCAACGCGAAAAACACGAAATTACAAAAATGCTAATGTTTAAAAGTTTTTTACAAATTACCTTTTTGTACGATAAAACACTAAAAACGCAGATGTCTGCAACGCAACTACTTTGAACAGTACAATTAACCTATACGTACAAAAAACACGTTAAATAACTGAGCTGGCTCAATTAACTCCTTTTATACTAATCACCTTAGAGTACGTAGATTACTTTCACAGAGTCCACTTTACGAACTTAAAAACCGCGTCACACACATCTGCTTTCCAGCCGATTCGTTAGCGAAATGGACGAGATTAGAAGTTTTGTTCCCCAAGAAACCACAGGTTTTCTTCAAGATAAAAGGATCGGATATGGCGCGAAAACATATGTCGATTAGCCATCTTATTTATGTGTTCATTTGAATCCTATCTCTTTCGCGTATTTAGCAATTCTCCTCTTTAGCCATCTTATTTATTGTTCCATAAAAAACGCTAGCTTGCTATAAAACCTTACAAATGTATATACAAAGCTAAATGTAAAACATAGCTTAGACACAAACCAGCTTCTTCGCACAAGATTACAACCTGTATAACAACACCATAGAGGTAACTCTAAGACCACTGGGTCC